GAAAACCACATCTATTTTGAGAAATGAAGACTAAAAAGGTTTGTCTGATAGCAAACTATCGTAACCACAAACCTGACAATTTCTCTCCAATACAACTCCATGGCTGATCAGCAGATTAAGGGTGTTTGAAATAAGGCTTACCTTTAGCCAGCTGGACTAACTAAAATTCAAACCAGTAAAAGACTTCTAGGCAACACAATATCTTCAATATTACAGAGAAGGCATTACCTCTCTCGAGAGTGTCTCAACATGCCAGGGCAACAGGGCATGAGAAAAGCATCATAATTAAAAAAAACATGGGCTATTAATTAACAAAAGCAAAGCAATATGTCTTTTGCTACAGCTGAATGGGTTTTAGAGAAACAGCATAATTTGAGTTTTGTATTAACAGTCATGCAAATTTATGTTCTGGTTTGCAAACTGCTTAGAAAACATTTTAAATGGCCAAGCATCACTTGAGAGGAAAGCTTTCATGCCAAAGTCTCAAGCCAATAAGATTTAAATAATGAATTATTCAAAAAATGATTTTGGTAACCAAATTAGAACATACATGTTACTATGAATGAGAGGGGGTCATTTATCCCATCGAGTCCATCTGGTAGTTAGTAGCTAATTGATCCAAGAATTGCATCCTGCTATTTCTTGAAAGAAGCTGGGCAACAACTTGACTGGGCATTTTGTTCAACCCTTAAACAAGTCAGTTTTAAATCCACAGTATACACGTGTGCCTCTGATTTGTCAACACCATTAAGGAGTTTGAAAAGTTAGGTTAAAAGCCCAAAGCCCAAACCACCTATTTGAAATGACTTATTAAAAACAGTATCCAACAGAGAATTGAACATGAGTTTTGTAAAGAAGGCTAAATTGCATTTTTGTCACCTCAAATGCTTATCCACCACCTTTGTTTAAATATTAATGTACTTTTTATATTATGTATCATGTATATTTTTTAATGGAAAAGAGCACTACAATACCTATAATAAAGACATCCAATCCAGATTAAAAATCTCAAATCAACAGTTTTCTGGGAAAAATTAATTTTACCCAGGAGACTTCTAGTTAAGTGACCATTGTGTGAGGTCCATTCAGTACATACTTGTACATGATGCTTCACTTTAAGCATCGGACCTTTCCCAAACTTAAGTACAACTTGAAAATGTCTCTGATCTTTGTCAAGGTTAAAAATAACCATTCTGTACTAGGCTAGGTACTAGGTATTCAAATCTGAGGGTTTATTCAGTCTATGTAGCTAGATACTACAGCATGTGTGTGCTGTTACACAGTAACATTCCAGAAACACAGACACCGATTCAATTCTTTGAGGCCATTTCCCTGTACAAGAACCCAAGAACCTCCTCTGGTAAAACTTTCAAACCTTCAAATTTTTTTTCTCCAAGCTTAATTCCATTTACTTCCCCACAATGTAATGGTGTTTCCAGTGCACACTACCACCTTATCTACCCTTTATAACCACTTCAAATCCTTAGAAGCAAACCCAAGACACAACTGCTCCTGAAACCCTCTTGAAGCTTCTGGTCATGGTGACACAGAACCAGGTTGCACTCTGCAGAGAATGTTCCCACACCAAACCCTCAGCATGTGTGCTGGAGGAACAGCCATCCTTCAGATGAGAAGTTAAACTGTGGTCCTGAATACTTGGTCATTAAAAACCTCATGACACGGTCTATACTGTAAGAGCAAGGTGTTAATCCTGATGTTCTAGCTAAGTTCAACTTTGGATCTGCCTCAAGCTCCCTCTTACTTCTACAGGCAAGCTATTTCTCACTCCTCTACTTGATCTGCTGCTCGATGGGGCTGCCGGCACAATGCTGGTTTAGCAACCAGGGGGTTGATGCACTTGAGCAGTGGATGAAGTGGGTTCCCTCCCGTGTTCACACTGGGATCCTTTCGGAAGAAAGGCATTATACAATTGCATTAATTATTAATATTCACAACTTTCTAATGATAGGCAGAAAAAAGGGTTCATTTGTCAGAGAAGAGCAGTGCATTGTATTTGGATGCTGTGGGCTTTGCATGTCCGCAGAAAGGGCATTCAACTAAAACCTACCTTGAGAACTACTGTATGAAGATCTGGGTTATGAACACAGGGAAATTCTCCTGAAGAACACAAACCTCCGTCTTCCAAGGCAGAATGAGTGAACAGCAACGGAGACGGATGCATTTTGAAAGAGTAACTCTCCTCCTTCTGCAGTGCGCAAACAATTTCTTTTTCGGAAATAAATTCAGTCCGGGTGCACAAAAAGTTGTCAGCAGGAAGATCTCGGGTTTAATCATTAGCAAAGCTCTATAAACTTGGTGTGGGGTGGAACTGGAACAGAAAAACGGAAACTGCAACGATCTCTTGCTCTTAGACAAACCTTCTCCGTTTGCCAAAATGGAACCAATCATGGGCTATACAAGACCACAAAAGGTTTGTTAATATTTTGTAATACTTGGAAAATATCTGGAGAACATACTGTAGATAAGCATTCCTTTTTCTTTTAAATGTGTCTGCCAAATTTCGTCCTTTGATTTTTCCCCGACAAGATCTGTTCAACGCCACAAACCAAAAAGTTTCCCTTACCACTATTATATTTTATTCTGTGCACATCTTACAATGCTTTCCACTTCTCTTAAGGTTTTCTGAGGAGGTGGTAGTAAGACACTCCCCGTACTAATGGGAACTAAAAAACCTGATTAACCTTAAAGCTGGTCACAATACAAAGGAACAAAGCTGAGCACAAAGCTTTGATCTTAGAATTATCTAGGAAAACCAAGAGCATAACTCTCCTACCAAATAAAACTTTCCAATACATTTCAGGGCCCACAGTTCATGATTTAATGCAGAATGAGCACAACCAAGAGTCTGCAACCCAGTCAGCCATCACAGACAACAACTCTTGGGAAACGTGTAAACATTTTCATTTTAAACATTATATTATTCAAACTACTTGTGGTTATTTTATTATCATAACGTCTGTCAGTGAAGGGTGCATTTTGTACTAAAAATGGTCTTGGAAAACCGATCGTAATAACTGAGCAACAGATCGCTTCTTACCAGATGAACCATAGCATTATCTGATCACACCTCTAATCTTTATTTTTGAAAGAAAACCTTTTAGCATTGTACTCTAGCATTGTGAAGGAAACTTACTTTAGGTTCAAAGCTTACTGTATATGCAGATGATTCTCATTTATTCATTTATTCAATAAATGTAAAAAATAAATATCTATCCAACTCAGTATTGAATATTTGGGGGATTTCATGGTATAGTAATCCTGTGCAAATTATTAATTCAACATTAAAATATTCTGGAATAACTCACTATTGCCCTGGTTTCCTTTCCAAAAAGATGTGAGACACCACAAACTTATTACAGCTATATTATACATAAAATGAGACTTTAGGTATACACTCCAACAGAAAAACTACTCAAGCCTTTATTTTTATACATACTGTACTACTGTACCAGTAAATGTATTTGCCAGTTACACATAATGAAATGCATGAAAATGCATGAAATGCATATGGAAGTATTATTTCTTTTGTAAAAAGTGTTTCTAGAACTAGTATTTCCAGAACCTACTCAAACTACTGTTTCCAGAAGTAGTTTTCTTTAATTACCAAGAAGCATATTACGACACAATGATTATGTCTTAAGAAAATAAACCACAAAGGAATACATTTTACACCTAGCAATTGATGTCTGTTAATTACTTGAGAATGCACTGTGACCATCTCACACAAGGATAAAAAACACAGGTCAGTTCTCTGACCAGCATTTCAGTAAGTATTTTTTCAGGCACTGAAAAAAGAACTTTTTTTGAAATTATTAAATTGATAGGCTAAACCACTGCCCTGCCCTAAAAAATAGAAGAATGCATTTCTCTCCCTCTTGCTAGAGCTTCATTGGGACCAGTTTGAAAAGAAAAAACACACAAAAGGCCTCTGCAGTATTTTCTCCCCATCTCTAATCCTCTACACTGTAAACACAACATTATCATCTGCAAGGAATTAAAGCAGCACTAAAGAATCAGTGTTTTTAGGTTTTTCTTTTCAAATTTGTACAATTACTTCACACAACAATTGCACAAAAACATTTCAAACTATTTGCTTTCTTTGGGGTTTTGAAATTGTATCGATTTTCATCTTCAACAACTTGAACACAGTACCTAGTAGTTTACATTAATTAGTTAGAAATTACTTGAACTCTGCAGCTTGATAATAAATTGATTTTGGGAGCAGTGGTTGTGAGACTGTAAGGTTGTGGGTTTGAATCTCAGGAGCGACACTCCTGTCGTTCTCCTGAACAAGGTTCTTCAGCTCAGTTGTCCCAATAAAGCTACACAAAAGGATACAAATAGACATCGCTTGAGATAATATACACTGATTCCTGAGATCTGTACATCATTGATTGATGTCTTAGAAAAACTGGCCTTTGTTTTGAATAAAACTTATTCGATAAAGTGGACCTGGCTTTTTAAGAATCAAAGTGGAAACAAAAATGCATCACCCTATGTGGAACATGACAGTTTCATACTTCACAAAGTCAAACCGTAAAATTCCAAATTCCCCAAAGGAGTAGCTCTAAACGCACTACATGTCAAGCGTTTCGCCATTTGCTTTAAAATGGATCTTTAAGCACAATGACACTCATCTTCATTAACAGAGGAACTGCTAAAAACCATCCCAGAAACACAGAAGTACACTATTGCTTGCACTATAAAAACAAACCTGGTTTTATATTTTTGTACCTTGATGCAAAAGCATTTCTAAAAAAAAAAAAACAATTTAAATTAAATCAGTCCCACTGCAGAATTTTAAATCTTTGTGGTAGTCACTATATTCAGTGTACAGCCACGTACAGTATCAGTGTAAATATTAGAGACCTCTAAAGAAATAAGTTCTGCGGCTTCAAAAACTAAGACAGTAATGCATTCCCAGACCAATTTAAAACAACGATTTTACAAGACTCAATAGTAAAAAATATTCATACAACCTGGTCTCTGAGGAGAGAGAGTGTTTATCATCCAACCTTTCTTTTGTCCTGTAAACTCCAAGTGATTTAAAGAATTAAAAAGTATAGATCAATCTCTTGGAAGGAGATAGGAGACGGCTGGCCTACTGTAACAGACTTGCTGGAGTGGAAAAGCCAGAGAGAAAAACGTAGTAGGGGGGAGTGGGAGAGAGAGACGATGTGAGTGCTTGCATTAAAATAACTCTTGAGCTGGTAACAGAGTGCACTTCCTCTATATGCTGTTGAGTGTGCGCGCGTGCGCGTGCACACATGCACACACACAGTCACTCGCTGGCTCAATCTGCACAGCAAATCCAGCCAACAGATTAACTCTGTCCTTGGTTTCTACAGCAACCATGCACATAAGTGACCTGACACTAGCACGTACACAAACACACACAAACAGATGCACCCCAACTGCAAGTAAACCAGTCCTTTCAGTTACTTCTGCAAAAGCAAACTTTTACCCTGTCAAAAGCACTGGTGAAAAGGAAAAAAACATGCATCAAGACTCAAAGTTTACCCAGTTATGGTCTAGTCAGTGACCTAGAATCCAAATAGATCTGCATCTCTCACAACAGTCACAAGGAAATTGATAAATCAATACGGCACAGAAATCTCAACATTATTTTAACAAATAGATCTTAATGGCCACACATCAAGAGATAGTAAGAACACAGCAGTGTGTGACTATTTAAGTTCTAAATCAATAGCTTACAATACTCTTAGATAGAGCTAAAGATAAACATCACAATTTTTAAAGGAAAACAAAATAAAACAAGCTTGCACTTGTTTGAGATCTGAAACAAAGTGCCAATTAATATGTTTTATGATCCCTTTTAGATATTGTCCTTTAACAAAGCACAGATGAAACTGAAATGTCATTTACTGTTACCTAACCCATGTTTCTGTCACTGAAGAAGATTTTTTGTATTCTGTAACATCCCCATGGAGTGATTTAGAGACTAAAATGAAGCACTCATTAAATGTCTACAAAATACAAACCTTTCAATTTTAATTTAAAAAAATCTGTAGATAGTGAATTTAAAAATGCAATCTCTAAAACCTCTCTTCTCTTATGTTCTTTGAAAAACATATTTGCAGGTTATGTTTTTGATAAATACTGTTTTGATAAAGAGCAAGCTGTAGTTGTTATGAATTTGGGATATATGAATATTAATTAGTCCCAGTTGTTTCACAATGCTCAACAAGTGCCAATTTACAGCAGCCTCTTTAAGCAGTTCTACTTCCTGGCATTGTGAAACAGACATGGCTAATTAAATAATTACTTATTATCTATGATATATTATGTACCCTACTGACACAGGCAAGGATGTTGATAATCACAGCCAGGCTCATCCTCTAGAGCAGAAAGTTCACGCAAGGTGGAAAGAGCAAAACAGACCATCTGACGTAACAAAATCTCTCCCAGAGAATGAAGTCTCTTCGTTGCCGGTTTCAGTTCCGTAGGGTTTACTCTTGCTCAAAAACCTGACTCCTACCTACCAACAGATCTTCCCCACCCAGCACAGATGAAAGACACAGCTTCATCCTCTAATACTCTGAGGCCGTCACAATGGGTTTCACATGTGCCTCAACCCTCGAGAATTTTCTATAGGGCATCTTACTCTGCAAGCTCTCTTGGGAAATAGAGTTCAACTAGCATCTTAACCCAGGATGATGACTCTCCAATTCATGTTCCAAATCTGTACGCCTCACAGGTTCCTACCCCAGAGAATAAAACACAGTTTACAGTATACTGTACATACATGCAAATATTCACATTCACACACTCATATTGCATATGTACACAGAATTCTGAAATGTTTCTTTTTCTTTGTTCACTGTGTGAATTAAAGGGCTTGACTGTGGCCTTGTCTCTGGTGGGTGGAGATACGAAAAAGCCAAATCTGTCCCGAGCAAGAGATGACCTTCCATGCATAGCACACTGTACTGTACCTGGTTTCAATGTCTTTAAAACCAATTATCATCCTCTCATAGCTGGTTCGGAGAATTGAATTTCACACCAGAGGAAAGGCAATCACTCTTTAGATTGCACAAAAGCACACAGAGAAAGAATCCATTTTCACCTGTGATTTCCCAAGCTGAAAAATGTGCTTGTTAACATCCCCACCCCCATGGAAATCTGTCACAACAATTGTTTTTCCCTGCAAAGCCTTTGCTGCCTCTTCGGCTCCTTTACAAGCAAACCTTTCCCCGAGAGACAGAATCAACATATTTCACAAAAGTTCCCTAGTGTAGATAAAGAGGTTTTACAAATGTTGACACCAAGCAGCTAACAAACTCACGTTCTGCCTCAGAGTTATCATTTTCACAAACATAAAAGCCAGATAATTAGGCTCACAACATCCATAGACAGATGTCAAACAAGCACTTTTAAGACAACACTACAGTAGGTCACATTTGTCCAACTGGACCCAACAATTTGGGAAAGTGGGAAACACAGGTGTGAGTCTGGGCTCTGTTATTTGCCAAGAATTACCCAGGGTTCACCAAGCCCCTATGCGCCAGCAGCATTATTATCAAGAGCTACAGCTGCCCTCCGTCTGAGGCCCTAGCTGTGTCAGCGGTGCTTGGGGCTCACAGTGTGAATAGGACAAGGCTGTTTCTTTTCCTGTGCAGGCAGGGAGGTTGGAGAATTGGCAGCTCCAAATCTGAGGCAGGTGAATGAACAGGATAAATTGCACCACCTTAAAAAGGTGCATCTTCACATGCTAATTATCATCCAGCTCTTGGGCAGAAACAGAAGAATGTTCAGGCTGCCTCCCTCAGCACCTGTCGGAAGGCACTTTTAACACACTACAGTGACAAACGCAAATGAGTTTGCAGCAAGAACATTTGATGTGGCAGTTGTGGGAGAGAGCATCGGTGAAATCGAAGAGCTTTCTTCTCACCTGGTCGCCGGCTGAAAAGCAGAATCAGGTGTGAGCTGTGCAAGTGGTTTAAATTCATTTGCAAAGGAAAGCACGTCTTACGAAAGGGACTGGCTGCGTTATCTTTTTTAAACATTCAAAAGTGAAACGGGCTCTGGGTTTGGACCATTTATTTCTTCTTGCCAAGATTGTAAATAACATTTGGTGGCTTCAGTAGTCATTCCTACAGTCAGTAACAGCGTACTTGAAAATAGGAATCTTTTGTGAATTTAGAATGAAAAATGACGTTTCTTCTTGGTGGCTGTGTTTTAGTTTTGCATTACTTCCAGAGCTCAGAGAGGTTGCTGTTCATCATCAAAACGAAATGAACACAGTTTATTAACTGCTTGTAATATCTGATCGCCAGATCCCGGACAGTACAGTTAGCAAGGCTGGACTTCGTCAGTACAGGGATTTGAGATGTCAAAAGGAAAACCCAGATTGCCAACATTAAATGGTGTCAGGAGAACAGTAGGTGACACTCATACTTTAGGATTATTCCTAATTTCCAAAAAAACAAATACCCCAGGATGGTGACTGAGGACACTCTCCTTTGGATGATATTAAACTGAGGTCTTAGGATCTTGATTGTTAATCTTACGGTACTGTTTAAAAGAGTAGGAGTGTTAACCGTGCTGTCTTAGTAAATTCAATGGTTGGTTTATTTAATCTGACCTACCTAAGGTCCCTCTCAATTCAGCACTTGACCAGGTAAATACTCAGCTAGTTTCTTTAGTTGCACTGCAAAACATACAGGTCTATTTACTCTAAAACTTACACCTGCTTACCTATCCAAATGCCCAAGTGATTTGAAAACAGCCCAAAGGTCTATTATAATCTAGTATCCACATCTGTGACAGAAAGATTTCCATCTTCTTTAGGTAAGCAGGAATACAGAAAAAAAGACAAATAAGCCTATATCCAAGGCAAGGCTGGAAACTGAAAGTTGATCTTACAAAATGTTTACATTCTTTTCATCTACAGACAAATTCCAGCCAGGGTTCCCAAAGATGCCATATGGTATGAAATCAAAACTAATCTTTCAATCTGCAAATGTAGTTTAGAGGGTTAAGAAAGGTTTTAACAACTCTCACTCTGCAGTATTTTTCTGTATTTGAAAGTCACTGAAAAAAACAAGGCTGGAGACCTTGGAATTGCTCTGAACAAATGCAAAAACAGGCACCCAAAAGGGGATTTCAGAAATTCTCCTGTCTGGCGATGAGCAATTCCATTTAAAATTTCATCTGCAGAGAAATTCAGATCTGCCCTGCAGCCAAATAAAAGTAAGCAAATCCATCCACAAGCTAATTATAAAAGTGGTCCAAAATTAAATGTGCAACTTAATTTTATATATGCTGTCAAAGCCAAAGCACTTGCCTGTGTAAAGTAAAGTATGGCATACAAAACACAGCATAAAAAGTTATTCAAAACGGTTTTAAAGGGAAAAAAAACTCTATACTCAGTGCATGACTTTTTTGTTTCGAGAAGCTTTCTTAGCCCCGTCTATTAAGAAAGAGCTCACAAGGGCTCTTTTTGTTTCCACTTCAAGGCTGAAACGCCAGTGAGTCACTGACTTGCCTGCCAGGACCAGGGGCCGGAGCCCCAGCAGTGTCAAAACCAGCCCTGGCAGGGGCAGGTAACACGTGAATCATGAGGTAAGGGCCCGGAGGGACGCAGAGAGCTGGCCAAACCAATGCCAAATAATGCTGGTCGTCATTGGGAAGGAAAGGGCAGAAGGAAAAATAGAGCAGGGGTGGCCTCCGGGTCTCTCTCTCACTGCTCCCTTCATGCCTCTGCACAGGGGGTTCTTTCAGTGGAAAAGAACGTGCTGCTTGGAAACCAATGACAACCGCAACAGCAAAGCACCTGAGGTCTCCCAGTGGCAGAAGGTTCTTCTAAATTGGCACTTGGCTCTCAAACTTGCTACCACGTCCCACTGGACAATCATCGCAATGGACGCGCCATTTCAAACACGGAAAAATCAGCCCGGTTGCTTTAATAAGGTGCCGAGGCCTATGAAACACCATGTACTTGGCGTGCCACCCAATTTATCTGAAGAGACACTTTGAACTTAACCGTAATCCAGTTGCCACTTCAGTCCCCAAGTTTTGTGTACACACACTATGCCTCTTTTCAACAGCTGTTTATAATATTGGAGTGCAGTTCCACATCGGCAGTCAAGGAGATGTCTTGCACCTAACGGCTACCAGCAGACTTTACTAAACTTGCACGTCATGCAGCTCATGTACATT